CGCGCCTGGGCCCTCCGTGGGCAGGGGGGGGGGCGGCGTGGGGCCGCGGGAGCCACGGGGGGGGGAAGGCGGGCGGCCGTGTCCCAAGGCGTGCACGGGCGGGAGCAGGAGCGCACGAGCGAGCGAGCGGGGCGCCGATCCGGGCACCGCGCGGCGTGGCGCGCGTGCCCGTGCCCGTTGGGGCGAGGCGCGCGAGGCCGTGGCGGCTCGGCAGCTGCCGGGGTCATTCTCGCGGGAGGTCCGCCGCCGCCGGCCGTGCTGCTGCCTGTGGTGGTCTCCTGGTGCCGCTGATGTCGTGGTGCTGGCGGTGTCCTTTGTCGCGTGACGTCGCCGGTGTCGTGTGGTGTGCCGTGGCCGTCGCTCGGGCCCATGCAGCGCGAGAGTCGCCGTGCGGTCATCCTGCTGCCAGAGGGGACGCCGAGCAGGGAGAGGAGGGGCTCGTTTGGCCACGGCGCGCCTCGGCCGCGAAGAGGTTCCTCGACCTGGACCACAGGAGCGGCCCCGAACACCAGAGCCCCTCCTGAGCCTGACGTGGTCCTTACTTCAACGTCTTGACTGTATGTCGTCGCGCTACCGATCTGCTATCCGCCATCGTGTCTCCGATCCTGTCGTTTGGTGCTTTGGCTGGGGCTCCAGCTCGGCGCTCTTCGCGTCCAGCACTCCGTCGGAAGATCATAGAGGATGAGGGTGAGGAGCAGGAAGCGGTGGAGGACGATAACGACCAACATGTGAGGGAGCAGGACCAACTCACAACCTAATTTTCAGGATCACCCCTGTCCCACTGGAAGTCCACGGGATGCCCCCGGAAATCCCCTGGAGGACCTTGGAAGACCACATCGATATACTCCTGGATAACTAGCTGCTGCAAGCGTCGGCGTCTCAACTGCCGCCGCCGCCGTCGCCGCCGGCGGCGCCGCCGGCGCCGTCGTCGTCGTCGTCGACGTCGTCGTCGTCGTCGTCGTCGTCGTCGTCGTCGTCGTCGTCGTCGCCATAGCCGTCGTGGTCCTCGTCCCAAATCGGCTAAGACCTCTTCATGAGCGTGTTCTGGCTAGGATTTCTATGCGGATCCAGCCATGGCGACGAAAGCCCTCCAAGAAGCCGACGACCACGTCGACGTCAATGTCGTCGTCGTCGTCGTCGTCGTCGTCGTCGCCGTCGTCGTCGTCGTCGTCGTCGTCGTCGTCGTCGTCGTCGTCGTCGTCGTCGTCGTCGTCGTCGTCGTCGTCGTCGTTCGGGCGGGAGACGCCAACTGACCGCCCTACCGATCATGGCTTGGCCCAAGATCTAGATGATGATGATGATGATGAGGAGGAGGAGGAGGAGGAGGAGGAGTAGAAGGAGGAGGAGCAGGAATACGTCGGAGGAGGAGGAGGAGGAGGAGGAGGAGGAGGAGGAGGGAGGAGGAGGAGGAGGGGAGGAGGGGGAAAGGAGGGGACGAGGACGAGGAGGGAGGAGGAGGAGGAGGAGGAGGAGGAGGAGGAGGAGGAGGAGGAAGGAGCAGGTGGAGGAGGAGGAGGACGAGGAGGAGTGTCGCGTGGATCGCCCGAATCGCCCGGTCCACCGCCAGCTGCTCCAGCGGTCCTCCGGCAGCCGCAGTAGCGGGTTCGCCCCCGGCACCTCCGCGGGTGCGCGCGCAGAGGCGCGCCGCGCTCGCGCTGCACAGGTAGCTCCTCCGTCCTCCTCCTATCTCCTCCTCCTCCTCCTCCTCCTCCTCCTCCTCTTCCTCCTCCCCCCTCTTCCTTATCCGCCATTGCGCCACCTGGCACGTTGGGGCGTGCTAGAATGCCAAGTGCTGTCTGGTAGGGTTTCTGTAATCTTCTAGGAGCCCCCCCTCTACTGGCGCTGGGCCTGCGCGACCTGCCCTCCCTTCTTTTCTTCGTGCAAAACAAATAATGGTCAGTGCTTACGAGGCCACAATCCCACGCACCATGCGATAGATTCGCGCTCCCGAGGTCAAGATGCTTCCAAGACGGACCAATTTGCTGTTGGGCTGTCTTGGGTCGCTCTGATGCCTGATTCGGCCCGCCGTGGCACCCGGTAGCCTCTGGAAATAGCCCTTGGACCGTCTTGGAGTTCAGGGGAGGTTACTGAAAACGGAGGCCCGGTCTCCCTGGACGGACCCCGGGCTTGAACAGGTACCCGGAGGAGGGAGGAGGGAGAGCAAAATTTCGAAGAAGTGAGCGGCCCCAGGCCCAGGGACCCGGTCGCTGGCTTCTCCCGCACAGTCAGCCAGAACCACGCGTGCGCGCTTCGCGCGCTGAGGCTCCAGAAAGCTGTGGCCACACAGTCCAATTCTTTTGGGGGGAGCGAGCCATGTGCTGAAGGTGCTCCCCCGTCTGAGCCCCCACGGATGCCAACGCCAAGGTCCCCGAGGAAGGCTCCTGCTGATGTCCCCTCCTCTTCCTGATGAGGTCAGCGTCCCGCCTGCGTGAAGGGCGGTGCGCCTCCAAGCATTACTACCTCAAGATCTGGTGGACTCGTCGAAATGTCTGAACCTTTCTCTGCCTCCTGGGGTCTGACGGCAAGGGACAGCCGGATGAACTAGCAAGCGAGTCTACGGAAACCCTTCAAAAACTACAGGGCATCAACAGATGTAGCCTGCTGGAGGCCTCTTCGGAATGCTTCTCGAGCGCCCGTGGGCCGTCTTGGGCGGCTCCTGGGCCAAAGGTGGGCCAGTGGCCCTGCGGACATCTTGGGGAGCACAGGGGCCGTCTCGGGGAGCCCTTTGGGACAGCTGTGGCCGCCCGTGGCCTGCCTTGGTGCCACTCTGGGCGCATGCGATCGATCGGGGGGGCCTCTGGAGCTGCGAGAGACACTCACAGGCCGAAAAGGCGAGAACACAACATCGTACAAAGAATTTGGGACATCAATCACCGTTGTCTGTTGGAGGCCTCTTCGGAATGCTTCTCGGGCGCCCTTGGGCCGTCTTGGGCGGCTCCTGGGTCAAGGTGGGCCCATCTGGAAGCCCAGCGAACATCTAAGGGAGCACTGGAGCCGCCTTGTGGGGGGCCTCTTGGGACATGTGAGGGGGCACTTGGGTCATCTTTTGAGACGCTGGGGAGCCGCTTGAGGCCAGCTTGAGCCGTCTGGGGCTCGTCTTGGGGCCCCGATGGGCGTCCAGGAGCGACCTAGGGGGCTTCTGGAGCTGCGCTGGACACTCCAAGGATGGATGGAAGAAAAAGTGATGGAGGAGGGGGAGCAGCACCAGGGTCTGAAAGAGGAGGTGGAGCAAAGATCGATGGGCAAAGAGAGGAGGCGGATGAGGGAGGGAAACGGAAAGCAGCCAGCATTAGTACTTGTCAGCACTGGTTAATCCAAAAGGCCGCAGACCGCCCAACTGGCCCAGACGATGAGCGGCGACGAGGCGGCGACGGTGCGGCGACGGCGACAACACAGCCGCCGGATCGCCGCACTCGCCCAGACGACGGGCGGCGACGAGGTGGCGACGGGGCGGCGACGGCGGCCACATAGCCGCCAGATCGCCACACCAGCCCAGTTCCTTAGAGAGAATCGAGGACCCCGAAGTGCAAGCACTGCCTGGGGAATAGCATTGAGACGCGTAGAGTAGTAATCGTACGAAATCAACTCATCAGCGTGAGGGCGCCGATCGATTTTTCACTGTACATGGGTGCGTGGCTGAAGTGGGCTATCGCGAGACGGATCATTGTGGTTATTGTCGTCGTCCTCGCCCGCGACCTGCCCGCGACGCACCCGTGACCAATCAACGACCCGCTGGCGACCCACCCGCGGCCCACTCGCGACCCACCCAGCCACGTTGCTGTGACGAGAAGACTCTCGTTGTCAGTTGTGTAAATAACGCCTGTGGCGGGCCGCCGACGACTCGGCTCCCCCCCTCCCCTCTTCACTCTGACTCGCAACTGCAGGGCAATGGTCATGAGAAGGGGCGGGGACCTCCCTCCCCCCCCGATGGCTGGGGGCGCGCGAACATGGATTAGCGATCCATGGTGTTGGCGCTCGGTCGCCAGATCCATGGATCGGGGGAGGTGCCCCCCCCAAAGTGCGGCCGGTGCCGCCTCGTCCGGCGGCGGACATCCGCGACTTCCCATGGAAGCGGGACCCGTCGCAAATCCACGCCCCCCTTTGATCCGTGCTCGCGATCGCCCGGCCCCTAGCCCCTGGCCCTTCCGCTCTGCCTGCGGGCGCCTTGCCTCCCCCTCTCCAGGCGCGGCCAGGGCGGCCCCTGCCGTGACGACACCGTCGCCCTCGACGCCCTCCCGCCCGCCGACTGCCCAGGTCTTGGAGGTGGGCGAGGGGCTCGTCACGCAAGCTGCTCTGCCAGGGGTCGGTCAGGCCGCGTCTCGCTCTTCCTCGTGCACCCCCTTTCCCCTCTCTCTCTCTCTGTCTCTCGCCGCTTCTGCCCCCTCCCCCCCTCCCCTCCTCCAGGAGGGGACGGTGTTTTACCCCCACGTCCGCTGCCCCATCGCAGAACCAGAATAGATATCGAACTTGTGGTGGTCTTCTTTTGGCGGCGCGCACAAGGGGTGGAGGGAGGGGGGAGGGCTTCTTAGAAGAAGGCGCCGGCCTCACATCTATAGATAAGGCCCTCTAAGAAGCAGGGGTGCTTCTAAGAAGCATCCCCCCTCCCCCCACCCCCCTCTGCGCGTGGCTGATTCTTCCCCCTTCGCCGATTTTCCTCGTCCCTGTACTGACCCGGCCCCGAAAGGATCAAGAGGACACAACTGGCACGAAAGAAATGGGTCCTGAGCGTAGCGGGTCCTGGGCCCGTCGGCTTTCCTAATGGAGCATCAACTCGCATAAACATAGCGTTTCGAAGGTCCGCGCGGATTCCTTGGCGCCAGGGGGGCACCAGCGCCGATCCGAGAATCCGCGCGGACCTCCGACACTTGATGCTTATGTTAGGTCGGGCGTGTCCCCCTACAGGCGGATTTTGGACGCAACATAAACATCAATCAACAGATGCAAGAAATGTGCCAAGGTCGGAACATCGTCTCCGGACTATTTTGGACTACTCGGGGATACTCCTCCTGTAGAGGGGCACGCCCGACATCACCTTATGCCGTCTGCTGTCCCCCGACCTCCCCAGCATCTGCTCTTCACCCCGAGCCGTCTTCCGACGGCTCCGCGGCGGGGCCGCGTGTGCCGACGGCGCGCTCGGAGCCGCCCGCCGAGCGCCCGGGCTCAGCCGCGGCGGCAGGGCGCCGCCCTCCGCCGGGAGAACGGGAAAGAAGAAACCGATGCCGCTGCTCCACGCGCCTGGCCTCTTCCCGGGCTGCGCTCTCTGGCCAGAGCTTCGGGGCGCAGCCGGCGGTGGCAACGAAGGCCTCCCACGGGAGGCCCAGAGAGGGGGAAACGAGGGAAGGGCAGCGGCATGGGTGCCTCTTCCTCTCCTCTGCTCCGCGCCCTCCGCCACGGCGGCGGGCGCCCTTCGGGCCGGGCGAAAGGGGGGGATCGCAAAGGGGGGGGTTGAGAATCAGCTCGCGTAGCTGATTTCCTCGGCGCCTCCCGGCGCCGGAGGCGGCCATGCATCGAGCACTGGGCCCCTCGGCGAGGCCGCAACCAGATGCACGTAGCAAATTTCGTAGCCCCCCCTTTCCCAATCCCCCTTTGCGTCTGGCCCGAGCCTCGTACAGGCGGATTTGGGATGAAACATTAATAGAATGAAAGAATGCTCCCAAATGGTTACTTAAACATGCGCACACATTCGCCCCCTTATGATTTTTGGTGGACTATGTTTGAATATTGCTCCTGTAGAGGGACAGGCCCGACTTATGGCCCGACTTGAAGCCTTTGCGCCCGGCCCGCGCCCTGTGCGCAGCGGCCGCCGGGGGCCGCCGCGCCCTCGGCGGCCGCCACGGCGGCGGGCGCCGCGGCGGCACCCGCGGCCGGCGCGCTCGGCCGCAGGGCCCCCCCGCGCGCGAGGGCCCTGCGGCCCCGGCGCGGCCCTCCGCCGCGGCGCGGCCCGCCAGGCCGCTATGGGCCCACGGTCAGGGGCGGCCTCACCCGACCCCCATAGCAAACCCTCCTCCTCCTCCTCCTCCTCCTCCTCCTCCTCCTCCTCCTCCTCATCCTGCTGCTGTGGCTGCTGCTCCTCCTGCTCCTCCTGCTCCTGCTCCTGCTCCTGCTCCTGCTCCTGCTCCTGCTCCTGCTCCTCCTCCTCCTCCTCCTCCTCCTCCTTCTGAGCCCGTCGGCGGCGATCGCCTGGGAGCGCCGGGAGGCGCAGGAGGACGAGGAAGAGGCGCGCCGCCGCGAGGCGCTGGCTGCGGCAAGGTGCGCGTGGGGGCGCGCGGGGCCGCTTCCGCATACGTGTTGCTGCGGGTTTTCGGCCGACTTTGCGTCGCCACGGTTGGGTTCGGCTCGTTGTGCTGGGTGCCCGTCCCCGTGGCCCTGGGTGGTCCCAGGTGTCGGGCCGTGGCGGCCTGGGCGTTCTTGGGGGCCTCTGGAGGCCTTCGTTTCCTCTTGGCCACGCGGAGCGTGGGCCCGCCCTGGTGCGTAGCTTGGCTTTGACCAGGCATTCAGGCCTTCAGCCTTCAGCCTCCTCCTCCTCCTCCTCCAGCTCCTCCTCATCCCCCTTCTCCTCCTCCTCCTCTCCTCCTCCTCCTCCTCCTCCTCCTCCTTCTCCTCCTCCTCCTCCTCCTCCTCCTCCTCCTCCTCCTTCTCCTCCTCCTCCTCCTCCTCCTCCTCCTCCTCCTCCTCCATTCCTCTTTCCTTATAAATAACTGCTCCCTGTCGCACCCCGAAGCCAGTTTTTACCTAACAGCGAAGACTGATAGGCTTCTAGTGGTGTCAAAAGAAAGCATCTTGACTCCCCAAGGGGGTCTGGGCGAACTCAGTCGGGGGTGCCGTGGGTGCCCGCCTGATATGGGGGAACTCAGTCGGGGGTGCCGCGGGTCCACTCCTGATATGGGGGAACTCAGCTGACGGGTGCCGCGGGTTCTTGCCTGATATGGGGGAACTCAGTCGGGGGGGCCGTGGGTGCCCGCCTGATATAGGGGAACTCAGTCGGGGGTGCCGCGGGTCCACGCCTGATATGGGGGAACTCAGCTGACGGGTGCCGCGGGTTCTTGCCTGATATGGGGGAACTCAGTCGGGGGGGCCGCGGGTGCACGCCTGATATGGGGGAAGTCAGTCGGGGGTGCCGCGGGTCCACGCCTGATATGGGGGAACTCAAGTGAGGCTGAGGCTGAGGCTGCGGCTGAGGCTGAGGCAGGCTGAGGCAGACGCTGAGGCAGGCTGATGCATCCGAAAGCCAATGAGCAGTGAGGAGGAGAGATGCCTCCTGTCGAGCGCCACGGTGTGCTCAGAGGGAGGAGGAGGAGGAGGAGGAGGAGGAGGAGGAGGAGGAGGAGGAGGAGGAGGAGGAGGAGCCCGAGGAGTGGTTCGAGGAGTAGTGGTTCGAGGAGTTGTTCGAGGAAGGATACTCAAGGTGTTTCTGAGCGGTTCCAGCCTCTGGAGGCCCAGTTGCGGGGATCCAGGATCTGCAACTACTGGGATTGCCACTGCGACTGTACCGGCGACTGTCGTTGTCATTGCGATTGCCATTGCGAACGCGACTGCGAGTACATCATAATTCTATACACAAGCTCCTACATGAATCTCAAGGGGAATGCTCCCAGATATGCTTCTACACATCGCTGTTAGGCTGTTTTGCCGGGATAAGTAAGGCGGGCCGGGCGTTTCGCCTGAGACCTCCTCACCATTTTATGACTCGGACGTTTGAACAATGACAACGGTTTCACAGATGCAGGGCGGGTCGTTTCCAAAACGTGGCTCTCGCCTCAGCGCCGCGCACATTTTATATGTGTATATATGTATATATATACATATATATAACAAGATCTTCACGGATTGAGGGCGGGTCGTTTTCAAAATGTGGCTCTCGCGTTCGCGCCGCGTGCACTCGTTTCAAACATTTGCCAGAGTTTCACGGATTGAGGGCGGCTCGTTTCCAAATTGAGGCTCTCGCTTTAGCACCGCGCACATTCGCTTTTTAAGAAATTGCAAGAGTTTCACACGGAATGAGGGCGGGTAGTTTTCAACAGGTGGCTCTCGCGTTCGCGCCGCGCACACGCGTTTTGAACAAATGCTGGAGTTTCACGGGTTCAGGGCGGATCGTTTTCAAAATGTGGCTCTCGCGTTCGCGCCGCGCACATGCACTTTTAACATTTCCAAGAGTTTCGCGGATTGAGGGCGGGCCGTTTTCAAAATAAGGCTCTCGCGTTCGCGCCGCGCACATTCGTTTTAAACATTGACAGGACTTTCAAGGATTGAGGGCGGATCACTGTCAAAATGTGGCTCTCGCCTTAGCGCCGCGCACATTCGTTTTCAATATTGACAACAGCTTCACGGATTGAGGGCGGCTCGTTGTCAAAATATGGCTTTCGCCTTAGCGCCGCGCACACTCGTTGCAAACATTGCAAACGTTGGGGTTGAAGGCGGTTCCTTTCAACATGTAACTCTCGCCTTAGCGCCGTGCACATGCTTAAAACACAGTTGCAGTAGTTTCACGGATTCCCATGATCAACATACCAAACGTGGTGTTTCGAAAGGCACGAGGATTATGTGGATGCAACAGGCTACGTTGATTCCCAGTGTTGAAATCTCAATACTGGCGTTCTGGTACGATTCCAAATCGTCAGGACGCAGCAGTCAGGTTGATCCGTGGTGTGGAAATCCAGAGAACAATGTTTTGGCATGCTTCAAGGTCTTCAAACGGTTGTCTTCCAACGAGGCAATTCCCCCAATGGAAATGAACCGTTGGAGGGGCCTACGAAGAGGGAGCTTGGAGGGAGGGTTACTCCAACATCGCTGATGACTCTTGGGTTTACACTGGTCCTCCTCCTCCTCCTCCTCCTCCTCCTGTGACGTCCCCCTCGCCTCGCCTCGAGACGTGTGTACGCGGCCGGAGGGAAGCTTCAGAGGCGACGATGGCGCCACGGAAGGGGATGGTTTGCTGGGGGTCGGTAAGGCTTAGGTCGGGCATGCCCCCCTACAGGCAGATCTTGGACGAAACATACACAAATAGCCGAACATGCTCAGAAATAGTAACGCGTACGCAACAGACACATCGTCCCCAGAGCATGTTCTGACTATTCTCGACGCTTCTGCCTGCAGAGGGACACGCCCGACGTGAGGTTCGGCCGCGCCCGACACCGGGGGTCCCCGGCGGCGGTCGGCCCGCACGCCGCGGCGGAGCCGCGGCGGCGGGTGCCCCGCGCGCGGGGCGCTAGGCCGGCGGGCCCGGGGCGGCGTCGCCCTCCGCGGCGCCGCCGCGGCGCTGCCGGCGGGCGGGCCGCCAGGCCGCCGAGCCCTCGGGGCTCCGGGCGGCGACCCAGAGGCGCGGAGGAGGGCCCGTCGAGGCAGCGGCGGCTCTCCCGCCCAGCCCAAGCTGAGATCGGGCAGGTGCTCCTAGAGGCAGATCTTGGAGGGTGGAGTAGATACCGGCCGAGCATAAAAAGCAGGCAATCGCCTACACAAGAGCACGACAAGTCGTCACCAGACTGCCATTTCCTATCCTTGGCTATTCCTGTAACTGGACATGCCCGACCTAAGCCTAAATCAGCTCAACATCCACCCCCCGGGCCTCTCCCGGGATCCATGCTGGCTTGTTTTTTTCGACGCGGGTCCAGCCCTGATGACGAGACGCCTCCCGGAGGCCCAAAAAGGACGTAAAGCGCAAGGAAGGGCCGCCGTTCGTCTCGACTGGCTCCCCTCCGAGAAGCCCCTCCCGGCCGCCAGGGCCAGCCCCGCGCTCAGCAGCGCCAGCCCCTGCCAGGCTCGGAGGCCGCCGCGCGAGGGGGGCTCCTCCTCCGCGAGGTCGCGCTCGAGGGCCTCGAAGCTCTGCACCTCCTGCTCCAGGGCCTCCGCCAGCAGGGCCCTGGTCCCGTCGTCGGACAGCAGGGCATAGGCCTTCCGCACCCGCTGGAACCGCTCCTGAGCCGAAGCCAGGACGGGGACAACATCGGACCGGGACAACTCGGGGACCTCTGAGATCCGGCAGCTCTGGAAGATGCATCGGGCGCCGCGGCCGTTCCAGAGCGCTCCGTAAGGCTCTGAGAGCGTGTTCGAGAACGCTCTGGGACGATCTGTGCTGGTCCTGGCCCCGCCCGGTCCTCCGCGTCGGGGAACTCGGAGGTGTCAGGGTGCTCGCTGCGCACAGCCACCCGGTACGCTGCCCGGACCTCCTCCTGGGAGACCTCGAGGCCGACAGCGTCCGCCTGAGGAGGATGACCCAGATGCAGTCAGGCAACCTCCTAATCCTCAGGGGGGGGGAGGAGGAGGAGGAGGAGGAGGAGGAGGAGGAGGAGGAGGAGGAGGAGGAGGAGGAGGAGGAGGAGGAGGAGGAGGAGGAGGAGGAGGAGGAGGAGGAGGAGGAGGAGGAGGAGGAGGAGGAGGAGGAGGAGGAGGACCAGTGTAAACCCAAGAATCATCAACGATGTTGGAATCAACCCTCCCTCCAAGCTCCGTCTTCATAGGCCCCTGCAAGGGTTCATGTCCACTGAAGGGAACTACATCGTTGGAAGACATCCGTTTGAGGACACGGAAGCATGCCAAAGCATTGTTCTCGGGATTCCAGCGTCACTGATCAATCTGGCTGTTGCGTCTTGACGATCCTGAATCGTGCCAGAACGCCATTCCTGGGAATTCAACACTGCGAATCAACGTAACTGTTGCGCCCTCATAATCCAGAATCCTTCCAAAACGTATTTTCTGGCACGCTGATCATGGGAATCCGTGGAACTCCTGCAATTTTTAAAATAAATGTGCGCGGCGCTAAGACGAGAACCACATTTAAAAAAGGAGCCGCCCTCAATCTGTGAAACTCTGGCAAATCTTACAGCGCATGTGCGCGGCGCTAAGGCGAGAGCCACATTTTGAACACCACCCGCACTCCATCGGTGAAACTGTTGCCAATGTTTAGGCTTCAGGGTCATAGATGGTGAAGAAGTCTCACGCGAAACGCCCGGCACGCCTTAAAAAATGCCTCGGGGTGCGACAGGGAGAAGTTATTATTTATAAGGAAACGAATGGAGGATGATGATGAGGAGGAGGAGAGGAGGAGGAGGAGGAGGAGGAGGAGGAGGAGGAGGAGGAGGAGGAGGAGAGGATGAGGACTAGTGTGAACCCAAGACGCATCAACGATGTTGCAATCAACCCTCCCTCCAAGTTACCTCGTCGTAGAGCCCTACAAGAATATATTCGCATTGCGGGAAATGCCCTATTGGAAGCACAACCGTTTGAGAATCCTGAATCGCGCTGAAACGCAAGTCCTGGGACTTCCGCGTCGCGAATCAACGTGGCTGTTGCGTCCTGGCAATCCTAAACTATGCCAGAACAAGTCGAGGAACTTTAACGTCGTGAATCAACGTAACTGTTGTGTCTGGACCATCCTATTTCGTGCCAGACCACCACTGCTAGGACTTAGCACCGCGAATTAATGTGACGGTAGCGTCCTGATAATATAAGCCTGGCCAGCGCATAATCCCTAGAACTTCGACCATGCGAATCCTGCAAACTGTTGCAAGCTTTCCCACCGACTGTGCGCGGCGCTATTGCAAGAACCATAATCTAAAACATAACAGCCCTTCCTCAGAGAAGCTGGAGCAAACACTCAAAACGAAAATGCAGGGCGCTAAGGTTAGAACAACATTTTGAACACCACCCTCCCTCCGTCCGTGAAGCGGTTGCAAGCTTTTAGGATGACCGTGCGCGGCACAGAAGCGAGAACCACATTCTTCGAAAACCACCCGCCCTCCATCATTGAAACTGTGGCACATGTTGAAAACGAACGTGCCCGGCGCCAACGCGAGAACCACATTCTGAAAACGGCCCGCCTCCCATCTGGGAAACTGTTGCGAGTCTCAAGTTTCAGGAGCATGCATGGCGAGGGGATCTCAGGCGAAACGCCCAGCCCGCCTTACCGACACGTCTAGGGGTGCGGCAGGGATGAATTAATGATGAGAAAAAGGATGGAGGAGGAGGAGGAGGAGGAGGAAGAGGAGGAAGAGGAGGAGGAGGAGGAGGACGAGGAGGAGGAGGACGAGTGGAAGACCGTGCCGAGTCTCAGGAACTACCCCGCCCCAGGTTGTGGGACCAGGGGTAGCGGGCGCGCGACTCACACAATGATGCTACCGTGATTCTGCGGGCAGGCCTTCCACTGGAAGCGTGGTTTCCTGGGGTCCGAGACACCCACTGGCAGCAGGCTGGAGGTTGGGCTTGGCTGGGGAGTGTAAACAAAAGGCCACCTCTCCCCACCAAGCAAAGATACGTTAGATACGATTCAGCGTTGGGAGGTACCGCACAAGAGTGGAGAAGCCTTAATGGCCTGCTGGTGCACCCAACGTCCCTCTGCAGAGCAGGCGCTTCAGGCGCCCAAGGGGGCAGTTTCAGTCGATGGTGCCAGCTGCCCATCGGTGAGATTAGCAGTCTGGTCGGACATCGGCTCCTAATCGTCTCCTTTTCCTTCTCCTCCCCCCCAAATGGGACGCACATAGACGTACTAGTACTATATGTCCTCGTTGAAGGCGTGCGTCTGACCCGAACATATAATATTTACCATATGCCCATCTTGTCAGAGTGAGGGGGCCGAACAATCATTCATTGTCCCTGGGTGCGTGGCTGAAGTGGGGATCCGTGGTGAGAACTCTGCTTGTTGCGTTGTTGCGTTGTTGTTTGTTTGTTTGTTTGTTGTCGTCGTCCCACCCGCGACCCACCCGCGACTCACCCCGCGACCCACCCCGCGACCCACCCCGCGACCCACCCCGCGACCCACCCCGCGACCCACCCCGCGACCCACCTGCGACCCACCCCGCGACCCACCCGCGACCCACCCGCGACCCACCCCGCGACCCACCCCGCGACCCACCCCGCGACCCAACCCGCGACCCACCCCGCGACCCACCCCGCGACCCCACCCGCGACCCCGCGGCCCACCCGCGACCCACCCGCGACCCACCCGCGACCCACCCGCGACCCACCCGCGACCTACCCCGCGACCCACCCCCGCGACCCTACCCGCGACCCACTCAGCGACCCCCCCCGCCACCTACCCCCGCGACCCACGCCGCGACCACCCCGCGACCCGCGCGGACCTACCCGCGCCCCGCGACCACCCGCGACCCACCGCGACCCACCCCGCGACCCACCTCGCAACCCACCCGCGACCCACCTGCGACCCAACCCGCGACCCACCCACATGGTTAAAAAAAACAAATCGGCGCCTGCGGCGGGCTCGTTGTAGCTTGAAAAAATTGCGCCTGCGGCGGGCTCCCTCAGAGCCTCGCAGACTGCCGACGTCCCCGCCTCCCCCTCACTCTGATCCGCAACTGCGGGGTGCTACGCAGTATATCGTTTGCCGAACGGTATGGCCAGAAAGCGCCGGCCACGACGTATATATTATAAGATTTCTCGGTGCGCGCGTCGCCCCTGGGGGGGCGGCGCGCACTTAATATTAAGTCGGGCGCGTCTCTCTACAGGAGGAATATTCAACACTAGTCCATGTATAGTCTGGGGACGATTGTTTGACTATTTTTGATTTTATTGCATTTTTGTGGGGGGTATTTTTTCATTCTTCGTCCCAAATCCGCCTGTAGGAGGACACGCCCGACCTAAACTTAGTACAAGTATGTCGGTGTGGCGCCGACCAAACTCGGGCCGGGCGAAAGGGGGGGAACGCAAAGGTGGGGTTTGAGAATCAGCTTGCGTAGCTGATTTTCCCGGCGCCTCCCGGCGCCGGGAGGCGCCCATGTATCGAGGAATAGGCCCGGGGGCGGGGCCGAAACCAGCTGCATGCAGCAAATTTCGTACCCCCCCATTTCCCTGTTTCGTCCGGCCCGATATGTTGGCGTGGCGCCGACCAAACGGTGCCCCCGACACGTGCCTTCTCACACTCCTATGGCGATGTGGCCCTCGGAAGGGTCTTGTGTCCTCTCGCGTGTCCTGTCCAATCAAGGCGGACTGTATCAGTATGTTGGCGTGGCGCCGCCCAAACGGTGCCCCCGAGCAGGGCGCCTCCAGGCCCAGGGCCCGCCACGGCCCCCGGAAGTCGCCCTCGAAGTCCAGCAGGGCCTCCTCCAGCCGCGGAGGCAGCTCGGGGCGCTCCGGCGCGGCGCCGGCGCCGCCCAGCCGCGCGCCCTGCTCTGGGGTTGGTGAAGGGGGCCCTGGGACACACAAATAAATACACACAAATGATCGGATTCCCCTATATTTTCCAATAGTTTCTGGGTTTTTCTCTCCCCCCCACTTCCCATATTTTTTCATATTTTCCTGGGAATCGTCGATTAATTGTGCCTGTGTGTTCTTTCCCCTCCTGAGTTAGGTCGGGCATGTCCTCCTACAGGCGGATTTTGGAAGAAAAATCAAGCAGAGTCAAACAATACTCCAAAGATAATGAAAAAAGAGGGCGGAGAAAAACGTCACCATGCGTTCTTGTTCGCTATTCTTGAACGCTCCCCCTGTAGAGGGACATGCCCGACGTACCTCTGGGGGTGGGCACGGGCTTTTGCATCTCTAGCAGGCCCCGCCCCCAGACATATCCAGCGCATGGAGTACAGCGAAGAACATGTTTTTTTGTTTGTCGTTGTCGGCCCCTGGGGGCCCTCGCTGAGCCCCGGAACCGTCAAACACGACTCGGGATGCAAAACCGATCTGAAACTCCGGCTGGGGTCCAGAACTCGAAAGATGTCCGCACCTCGCCATCGCTCGGACGTCCATTCCCGACGTGTTTTTTGTTTCGGTTTGGTGCGTGGTCCTCGATGGTCCTCACCGAAGGAAACATGCACACGTCCGAGCGATGCCGAGGCACTCAGGTGAACTCCCCTGGGGGTGTCCGCTGCCCCAGCGTCGGCCGGACCCGCAGGAGCAGGGTTGGCAACACGTTGCAAAAACTGTTTCGCCTCCATCCGGCCCCGTCCTCCCCCCCAGGCCCCCTCGGGTCACGAAAACAGGTACGACGCAAGGATATTGGGCTAGTGTTAGGTTGGGCATGTGCTCCTACAGGCGGATCTGGGAAGAAACAGTAAGAGTCAAAACATAATAGAAAGATCGTCGCCAAACTATTTGTTTGACTACTTTCGAGTATTCGTCCTGTATAGTGACGTGCCCGAATTAAGGCTGTTGGGCAACTTCATGGCCCTCGCTTGGCCGCGGAAGAAAAATTGCCCCGAGGGAACAAAACTGGCCACGAGGGACTGGGTCGGGACTTCCAGGGACCCGGTGAGGAACAACATAACTGGCATCGCATGTCTGGGTTGAGACGAAGGCAGGATGATGACAAACCCAGGTGAAGATCAATCGGATTGTTTGGCTGTCTTCTTCTCCCCCCATCGCGACTCAATCAATTAAAAACCCACGTCCATGCTCCAGGCGGTTATCTGGGCAGCTCCACGGAAGCAGCAACGACACAATAGATAGAAGCGCGACAACTCCAAGGTCGAGGATCAATTTGGGGATCTCTGATAGCTGGCGGGTCTGGAACATGTTCCAATCGCCACAACCGTTCGGGAACGCTCCAGAGCTCTCCGAGAGCGTTCTGGAACGCTCTGGAGCGATCTATGCTCAAGTCGGGCACGTCCCTCAACAGGAGGGATAATCAAAAATAGTTTAAACAATCTGATGGGGACATGTTTTTCAAAATCCCCCTGTAGGGGGACACGCCCGCCTTCAATGTATGCGCATCCTATTTTTGTTGCCTGCTTGACCCCCGCCAGGGCCTCCCTCCAGGATCAGTCCGCGTCGAATCGGGAAGGCGGATCGGATCGGCACGCACGCTGGGTCGGGCCGCGTCGTTGCGAGCCAGAACCGAATCGGGATCGGCCGCGCCAGGGTACACAACAGCGCCATGCAAGCATCGGGCCGTTTCGGATCGTCGGAAGATCAGAGTCTCATCGGATCGGGCCGGCCAACATCGAAATCGACTCGGATCGACCGGATTGGCGTTGACCTAGACATCCAGCTGCTCCAATTTTTTCGATGCGTGGATCCCGGAGGTCTGGACCACCTCCCCGGGATGGGTTTTTCATCCTGAACCGTTTTTTGACGCTTCCGAGGCCCGGCGAAGGCCTCCAAAGGCTGAAAACTGTCAAAAAACGCCTGCTCCAATTTTTTTGGAGCGTCGGATCTCACGGGACCCTGCCTGGCTGCCCTTGAGCATTAGCGGGTCGAGATTTTGGGGGTGTTCTCGCCGCCACGGCTGGATCCCCTTCGAAATGTTAGTCCGCCCGCGTCCCTCGCCACCGCCTCCTGAGGATTGAAGAAGTGGGCATCGAGGATCGGTGTGCTTTCTGTGCGTTTCTGTGGCTCTGGCCTGCGTGTGGGCCTGCCCCTGCTCCCGAGGAGGATGCGACTCCATTCCGCACTGCCTGGCACGCGGCCCACACGGAACCCGGACCTCAGAAGAAGCACTTTCTGAGCAGCCTCGGCGTCCGGAGGCCGCGTTCGGAGAGAAGGGTGAGGGGGCGGGCGCAGGCTGGGCCGCGGGTGGGTCGCGGCGGGGGACGGGGACAACAACGATGAATTTGAGACTGTTCGCCCACATCTGCTCTCGTGCTCTCGTGCCCAGTCAACATGTCAAACCCTCGATGCCCGCCCTCTTCGTTTTCGATCGTTTCCCCCTCGGAGGGATATCTCTTCCATGCACCTGCCGCGTGCAGCTGGCGCAACCTCTAAAACAGGGGAAGAGAGGGAGTTGAGCAGAGACCGACCGTCCAAGTATTCCTCTCTCTCTCTCTCTATATATATATATATAGAGGCCTACCACGAAATGGTCTCAGAACCCCAATCTTTTTTTTGTGTGAAAAAAACAACAACAACATTCTTAGAACATGAACCAGATGTCTTAAAAAGACGACGGCCCCAGCCAGAAATGTTCGAAGGACATCTCGTGCAGACCACAAAAGGCTCTTAGAACATTATCTGGTGGTGGGCCTATAGGCAAGCCCGGACGCCTCGCGCCACTGCTCGAGGGAAGGGGCAAGGGGGAGGGATAATGACGGAGCTGCGCATGAGAGAGATTAGCAGGAGGGGGGCGGGGCAGGAGCAGGAAAACAGGCGGCAGGAAAACAGGCGCCCCGAGGCCCATCCGCTTGCCCCGCGCCTCGGCAGCGCCGCCCCCGCCGCCGGCAGCGCCCGCCGCTGCCGCGGCCGGCTCCGACCGACGGGATCCGAGGGACCGTCGCCCGGCCCCCGCGGCGCACGAGGAGGCGGAGGAGGAGGAGGAGGAGGAGGAGAAGCAGGAGGAGGAGGAGGAGGAGGAGGAGGAGGAGGAGGAGGAGGAGGAGGAGGAGGAGGAGGAGGAGGGGGAGGACAACAAGCAGGAGGAGGAAGACGACGGCGGCGACGACGACGACGATGGCGACGACGACGATGGCGATGACGACGATGACGACGAGGTCGACCAGGGGAGGCGGTGCCGCTCCCGACGCCCGACCCCGCCGCCCGCGGGGCGCCGCCCCGGCCGGGGTGGCGCGGGGGTGGCCTTCTGAGAGGGCGGCGCGCCTCTAAGGAGGCCTGCGGGGGCCTTCTTAGGAAGGCCCGACAGCTTCCGAAGGGGCTTCTGATAGTGCGGGATGGCGGTTAATAAAAAAATGAGAGGGAACGATTAAACAAATAGTTTTCCGCTATGTCTGCACAATTTTCTGACTGGAGGAGAACGATAAAAAATAGTTTCCCAGTCCGCGGCCGGTTTTTTCTAATCGTCATCCCGGGCGCCGCAGCGTGAACACGACCCCCGGTCATTTATTAATCGTCATCCTCCATTACGGTGGGAGCATTTTTTTTTTATCTCTGTGGGCTCCGCGCGACGAGTCCCGCGGAGGTTTCATGCGTGAATTCGAAAGAGGGGGCGGCAGGCCGACTACCTACTCGCCCGCGCGCGCGCCAGCTGCGCCTCAAGGTCCGCCAAGAGGCCTGCCGACGCGTCTCGGAACTGCGCCGTGATCTGGTCCTCCGCCGAGAGGCCCGCACGGTCGTCCAGCTCCGCCTCGGACTCTGCCGCAAGCTCCATGCTGTGCGCGTCCTCGGCCGCATGCGGTAGCTCCTTGCCATCGCCGTCGATGCCCTGCTGCCGCTGCGCCACCGCCGAGAGGTCCTCCCAGGCGTCACCGCCGCCTGCGCCCTCGGCGTCCCAGTCCTCGATGCAGTGGATGACGCCGTCGATCTCGGTGAAGCGCTCCAGAAACCAAGGGGAGCCGAGGAAGTCGAGCATCAAGCCGATGTCGAAGCCCTCGTCCACGAACTCCTGGATGAGCTTCACCCTATCGATGCCGCACTCAGAGTCTTGCCCGAACCAGTCGAGGAAGAACAGCTCCGCCTCGGACTCGGCCGCAATCACTCTGCTGTGCGCGTCATCGGCCGCATCGTCGCACGCCTGGCGCCGAGCCTCCCGCGGGGGCGGCTCCAACCACGTGCGAGAAATCCCCGACCTTGCTCTCCACATCTTGTCGCTGATGCCGCGCGAACAAACAGACGAGCAGGTGGGAACCTCCTTCTCCGACTCCACGTCGCACTCCACAGTGCTCTCGGAGCCGCCGCTGGCCTCGGCTGCGGGGGGGCCCATCGAGGCCTCCGCGCGCCGCGTCGCCAGCCGCCAGCCGCAAGCGACGCCCTCTCCGAAGGCCCGCGCCTCCAGCACAGGGTCGCACTTCTGCCAGCAGCCTGGCGCCAGCAAGCCCTCGCCCAGGTCGCCCTCGGGCTCTGCCTGGAGCTGCTCCTCGTGCAGCACCGGCTGCTGCACCTGCGGGACCGCCTGCTCCAGCTTCTGCGCGCCCTCGGGCCCCGCTGCGCCCCCGCCAAAGGCCACGAGCCTTGGCCCTGCAGCGGCCTCCTCAAGGGCTGCCCTCGAGGCCTGGGCAAACCCACACGCAGGCGGCTGCGCAGCATGCCGCGCCACATTGCGGCGAAGTCGGGAGCTGCCACAGACTCGCCTGCCCGCTGCAGCTGCTCGCAGGGCGGGGCGGGAAGCCGCCTCGCGGTCCCTCCAGGATCCAGGCCCCGCGCCGCCTCTGTCCCCGAGCGCCCGGCGTAGGCCAGCTTCGCAGGCCAGGAGCCGCCTGCGCCGCGCCGCGCGCCGCGCTGCCGTGGCGCCGAGAAGAGCATCTTCCTGCACGCGCATGGGCCGCCTCCCGGTCGGGCAGCCCCC